GCTCTGAGGTGAGATGGAGTTACTTTGCAGGCAAAAAATGTGACATTTAGATTGTTTCTCATTCTCTGGGAATGTGTGTGTGCAAGCCTGAGCATGTGTTTTGTGTGTGTGTGTGTGTGTGTTTCAGCTGATCAGTGCTGAGGGAAGGGATGGAATGGAATGAGAGAATAAAGGAAGGAGGGGGAGATGGAAAGGAAAAAGTTATGGTTTTCTTGGTTTCCCAGCTTCCTCAGTGTTGTTATGTGCCATTAGCTGGATTATAGGCCCATGCCAGACTGGGTCCACATCTGGGACTGTAAACCTGCCAGATGCAAGAACAGATTTCTAAAAAGAATTGAATCTGTCTTATGGTGTGGTGTGTGTGGCAGGGTGCTATTGTTAGTGTTTGTTTGCTGTTGTGAAGATCTTTAAAGCTGAAGTATGTACTTTTTTTTCTAAAGTATGTGTAGTTGTAAAGAGTAAGGTTGATTCCTTGTAAACACTGTGGCGCTATCAAAACATTGTCTTGTTGATTTGAGCTTCCTGACTGGCCTTTACACAGCAACACTGCAGCAGCCAGTGGTGTGAGTTTGAGGTGGGACTATCTGTTGTATCAACTAATGGTTAATGAGTATTAAGGAAACCTGTTTGAATATAATCATTATGTTTGCAAAAATTACACTCTTCACTTTTAAATTTTACTGCGAATTTGCATCGTTGCAATGCTTCTGCTGCAGAATGTTACTGTACATAGTAGATGTGTCTTTTTAATGTGTTTAGGGAGGTTTAAGGAAGTTGAGTCTGTAAAAATCTTGTGATTTTAAATGTCATCTATGTTCGAATTAGGTTAGAGTTGAACTCCCTAGTTCCAATAATAGCCCGTAGTTATCTGTAAATTCAGACCAAAGTTGAATTGTCATTTTTTTTACGCTTATAACGGCACAAAAACAGCTAAATAAATTCATAAAAAAATGTAATACATTTTTGTCTGTACACGTGTGTGTGTGTATTAGTGCTGTCAAACGATTAATCGCATCCGAAATAAAAGTTTTTGTTTACATAATATATGTGTGTGTACTGTGTATATTTATTATGTATATATAAATACACACACATGCATGTATATATTTAAGAAAAATATGCTAAGTTTATACATTTAAAATATTTATATATAATATCAATTATATTAATATTTTCAAAATATATAATTTCACACACACACACACACACACACATATATATATATATATATATAGTCAGTTGACTCTATACAGAATATAAACTACTGTTCAAAAGTTTGGTTCAATTTTTCAAAGAATTATTTTCCTCATCCCAGACTTTTGAATGGTTGTGTATCTTTCTAAAGAGTTATTTCCTTCCAGATATGTAAGAAAATTGAAATACCACATGTCATCTGATCATTTTTAAATATTATTGCTCAAAAGTTGCTCTTTCATACCTCAGGCCTCCTTCATTTAATTGTTTGGTTGATGTATCGGTTTTTTCTCAGATATTTTGTGTCATTTGAGATCTCTGAAACTCCAAAGGATAAATATTGATGTGTATTATAGATCTTATAGCCTTTCTTCTGAATTTGGCAAAACACAACATACCTATCCAGTTGCACTCTGATCCATGTCCTCTGTGATCATTAAACATCCAGGTCCCGAGGAGGATCTGAGATGATGTCATCAAGGAAACGATTGTTTCACTGGTGTTGTTTTGGTTGTATGAAAGGCGTGCTGTTTGACTGAGTGAAGGGGTGTAAGGGCGACGGGGAAGTGGTCTAGGGAATACCCCACATCGCTAGAACCTCAACCGTGCCATGAAAGGACTCTCTGTGTCTTTCCTGATTGACACTCGCTGTGACGTGGTCACAACAACATGACCCGTGAAGGTTGGGGGTCCGGCCTCTTTGTGTGAGACCCCCTCTCCGCTCCCCTCGGCTCTGACATTGTATGAATCTTCTCAACTTTTCTCTCAGGGGATTTAGCCCTTAAATGCCCCCCTCAAACCTACAGAAGTTCAGACTCCAGCCATCCTCAGGAATGAGGGGAATGAGGAGAGCAGAAAGAAAAGAAAGAATAGATTGAGAGCCTGAGGGGTAAAGAGAGAGGAGGGGAAACAGGAGAAGAGAGAAGGTTTTGGACCCCGGAGGCTTTGGCGTGTTAAGCCGTAGTGTTAATGATTTTAGTTGGGTGGTAATTACAGGCCGTGGCGTACAGCACAGAGGAAAGGAAAACAAGGATGCTCAGAATGAGAAAGACTGCAGGATGCTTCAGCAGCGCATGAAGTGAGGTTAATGTAGAGCTTCTGTCAATGTAAGTGTTAAAGACAAGTCACAATAGACCTCTAGTTAACCACTCTTCCAAAACCTGTCTTTTCAGTTACAGAGGCTGACTCGTGTTTATTTTTTCTTCATTGGAATAATGATGCATGTTGCAGAAAATAATGGTCTGAAATAGTTTTTGATTTAAGTTTGTGTTTGTTTTTTTTGTTTACATTTTTTATTGATTTTTTAAAAAAACAATTTTTTGTTGTTTTTAATTTATTTTTTGTTTAGTTTTTTATTTAATTTTGTGTTTTTTTTGTTTGTTTTTTTTAAACTAAAATTAAAAATGTATCTATATTTCAATGTAACGAGTTGCTCCACCTATTTTTCTTTATTTTTCTTCATTGGAATATTGATGCATGTTAGTTCAAAGAAAATAATGGTCGAAAATAGTTTTTGCTTTGTTTGTGTGTGTTTTTTTTGGGTTACATTTTATTTTGTTTTGTATTTAATTTAATTTAATTTTTGTTTAGTTTAGTTTTTTGTTTAGTTTAGTTTTTTGTTTTGTTCTGTTTTTTATTATTATTTCAAATTAAAAAATGTAGCTAATATTTCAATGTAATGAGTTGTTCCACCTTTCTTTGCAGCTGACATCACCAAGACTTCTTATTTTTCAGTCTCATTTTATTCTTATTTTTCAGTCTCTTGCCATCTAGAGAACACATAAAGTAATGTAAAGGAACTTTACCAAGTGAAGTTAATATACTGTTTATACTGAATACACTGTATATATGTCACTTTGTGGAGATTGTAGGCTGTGAATCATTTCATGTTAACTTTCAAGGAAACAGGTTGGCTGTGGGTGGTATGTGTTTAGCAGTGGAAGTGAAGGCATTTATGACCCAATAAAAAGCCCCTGACCTCTATTCTCGCGTCTTCCTCTCTCCTGGAGATCAGAGGACGTCTCACGTCTACAATTCCTCACGTCTTAAAAATTCACAGTATGTAGGTGATTTTTGTGGTTTTTAACAGCCAGCTGAAATTATTCTAACAAAAAAGAACCACAAAATACCACAACATTTTATGAACATCCTGCCATGGTTAAGAAACAATGTATGGACCTGAAGGTACAACCACAGTACTTTTTCGTAGCGTAAGGCTTCTGTCTGTAATCTCTGTAGCTGTTGTTTTTCCTGTGCTACTTCAGAGCGTCAGATGAATGATTTTGTTGCACTGGGTTTGACCCCTGGTGTCTGGAGTTAAATGGGACAGGTTATTGCTTTTGCAGAGGAAAATGGCACTAGTCAGCTGAGAAGACATTATCATTGCTGTGCTGATCTTTCCCCCCACCTGAACTTTGGCTGTTTTTTTAAAGAGTTTTAAGAGCGTCATGTGAAGCAATTCTGTGAGCTGTTCATCCAGTGTGACAAGCAATATTGCGTTTGTTTTGAGGACAGAAGTGCATTCTTTCTGCATCAGTCTAAATGATACAGTACTGACTTGTATTGACTTCTGTGCTGGTCTGTTGTGCAAGTGTTTTATGCTTTAAAGACTGCAGCCTACACCCTTATTTTCTGTATTACGCAAAAGTAGAATTAGTTCATTTCAAATCATGATATGTTGGAAATAGTGCACTTGGAAGTTGGAACAGAAGGAGTTTGTGTTGTTCTTTGAACACAAAGTGGAAACTGCCACATTCATTTTTAAATGTGTCAATCTAAATGTTAAAAATTAGTTTTACAAATACAATGAACATGCTAATTGTACATTTGAATTGAACACTGTCATTCACAGTTATATTGTTATAATTGGTTTCAAGTTATATGGTCAATAAATGGCAAAATAAATGGTCAATGTTTATTACATATTAAATATATTTTAAAATTGTAATACATGTTAAATAAATGTTATCTAATAAAACAAAAAACACTAAAATTAATAATTTTAGTAGTTCCTATGTGAATTTAAGAATCACAATATTATAATTTACTGTATGATACATAGATAACTATTCATTTTGAAATCTGCTGAAGACAAAAATCAGTTTCACTGAAAAAAATAATAATAATTTGAACTTTTATTGCAGTTAATGACTCTTCTGGAAATAGTTCTTAGTGGGTTAAACCCAGAAAGACATAATATTTACATTTTCAACAAAAAGTGCAAATAGTTATCTATGCATAAAATATTTTATTGAACTGTTTTACTTTATTATTTAAATTATTATTTTTTTTTTTTCTTTTCTCTCTTTTTAGAGGCACACATTTGCTGCAAGACAAAGATTCCTGTTTTTTTTTCTTTTCTCTTTTTTTAGAGGCACACATTTGCTGCAAGACAAAGATTCCTGTTTTTTTTTCTTTTCCTTTTCCTTTTCCTTTTTTAAATTTTCTCTCTCAGTCTGGTCTCCTCGCTGTGGTGGAGAGACTGTCGCCCTATAACTGCATTTTATATACAGATTACATCATCCCTGCACAGATTACATCATCATATAAACATTGGTGACATCATAATGATTTCATCCCGTTCCATAACCCACCAGTAGCTTTTCAGTGAAACGTGTGTGGTTCAGTGTGTATTTGCTTTGTGTGTGTATGTCTGAATGGGGTTGCAGATGAGGATCTGCTTTAGTCTTCATCATTAGCTGATTTCAATTGAGGCTAATTGCTCATTTAAGAGCGGCCTGGCTTATAGAGACTGTTTCACTGTGTAATCAGATATTATTTTAACAAAGCAGATCTCTCTCTCTCAGGCTGTTGCAGGGAGGGCTCCATGAATGTTCGTCACCATGATGATGATGGACCAAATGCTGGACCTCCCGCCTCCATTGAGCAACGAGGTTCCCATGATGCACCACATGATCAATGGCGATGCACCACAGCAGGTGAGTTTGTAAAGTCAGACCTCATTTATCGACAGCAACAGTCTCAACAGCCTCTCATTTTAAAAGCCAGAAAAATTCCTCCAAGCTACAGCAACTCTTTAGCTAAGACTAAAGACCTAGAATTGCCCCTTGTTCAACATATAATGAACATGTGACATCTGCTCTTGTTTTACAGGTGATCCTGGTCCAGGTGAACCCAGGTGAGACGTTCACCATCCGCATGGAAGACGGGGCTTTGCAATGCATCCAAGGTTTGTCCAATGAAGATCTTCATATTGCTCTTGCTAAATGTTACTGTTCAAATCAGATCCATTTGGAAAAGAATCAAGGTGTTTTCTCTACAGTTTATGATGCCATTTTAAGTCTATTTTACATTTAGTTTGTTTGTTTGGTATGAAGACATGAAGATGTTTGTTTGGCATGTTTTCTGAAGACTCAGAAACATAGCCTGGAGTATGATTTGCATTGTTGGAAATTGGTCTGAATCCAGAAACAGAGACAAATCTGCAATCTGGCATAACTTGTTAAGTATAATTAACCTTTTATTGCATTATTTTTGCTTGTCTTTGTTGATATTCCCCACTATTTGCAAATTCGCATATCTAGAAATCTGCATACATTTTGCAACTGTTAGCAACAATAGTAATATTTCTTTTTTCATATTTCTTTTGGCGTTTTTGCCTTTTATTGAATGGATAGTAGTGAGACAGGAAGCGAAGTTGGAGAGAGGGGGAATGGGATCGGGAAAGGTCCACGAGCCGGGACTCGAACACGGGACGGCCGAAGCGCAATGGCGCTACATGTCGACGCACTGCCCACGAGGCTATCGGCGACGACTACTTTTTTCATATTTCTATTTAGTTACAATTTTAATAATAATATTTTGTAGTTATATTGGGTTACACTTGATTTTAAGGTGAACATGTAATTATGTATTTAAGTAATGAGTAATATTTATTAACAACATACTTATTATAGGTTTAGGATTAGGAATAGGCTTCAGAGTTAGTAGCATGTAACTATGCAAAATGTACTATTAAGGCCCGTTCACACCAAGCACGATAACTATAAAGATAACGATAAGGATATACCGGTAGTTCTAAAAATCGTTCTCAATATTAAAGAATAGCAGAGTCCACACCACAACTATAACGATAAAGGCACAGAGAAACGATATCGTTGGAATCACTTCCAGAACGATTTTTTCCAGCTGATGAACGATAAAAACATTGACAGCCAATCAGAATCCATCCTGCTATAACGAGCTCGAGAATTTAAAGCGGCAGATGCACATGCGCTCAGAATAAACAGACGATATCGTTTGCTGTTGTGGATGCTAATATCGTTATCTTTATAGTTATCGTTCTTGGTGTGAACGGGGCTTTAGTAGTACAGTAAGTACATGTAACAAGTAGGCTACACAAGTACTTATATTGACATGTATATATTCACAAAATTTGACCAGATTGTGCTGTCCTCCAAACAAGAACAGCAAACCAGAAGATTTTTTAATCCCATTTTAAATCACAATTGCGATTTTTATCAGACAAATCGCAAGTAATTTTTCCCCTCCAAATTTTGCAGCCCTAAAATGTTCTACATAATAATTATTTGCAAACCTCTAAGGGATCTAGGTCATGTGACGGTGCTATAAAACCATTGCTAGTGTGTTTGGCCAGTGGAGAGGCGTTTGGTCACTGAATCCCTACACTAAATTACATCTGACCTCATAATGTCTTTTTAACTTCATAAAGGCCACCGAATTCCCTCAGTAAAAGTTTTGCAAGTGTATGTAAGAGATTTAAAGCGGAGAGTCACAGTAGCCTAGACCACAGGATACTGGATCTGACCGTCTGGGCGCTCACATCACTGTTTACACAGCTAAGAGGAGCTGCAATGACTGTTTAATTCAATTTGTCCAATGAGAATAGCAGAATCAGCAGCGGAGGGCTGTTTGGTTTATGCTAGAGACGGAGCTGGCAGCTGGCCGACAGAGAATGTAGACGGAGAAAGAGAGCCTGTACCTCACAGGTGTGGAGAAGATGCAGTTGAAGGCCACGGTAATGTTCTGGCATGTTTGGGATAAGAACTTTTTAAAATTTTCTAACGCTTGTACGATCTTTGGCAGCTGCACTGGATAAGCTAAGTCTCCTGATATTCTTTGATGTTGACTTTGCATTTTTGCAAACAATTTGCTGATAAATGTTTTCCCAGGGCTGGGCAGTGTACTGTTGGCTTATCGTTATTAAAACAGTTCTGTAAAGAGGTGCTACATACTATGTCTGTAATTCAGAGCCCCTTTAGCATTTGAGATTGTCTAAAAGTGCTAAATGAAGCTCTGTGGACATTTTTCGTGCAGGATCTGATTCCGTAAATCACAGTAATTGCCTTTTTTTTTGTGTATGTGACATTTCTGACTGCTTATTGTTGCTAGTTGTTAGGTTGTCGACAAATTGGACTTAAGAAAACTCTGTGTACTGTAATTAGGCCTGATTTAAAGGAACAGTTCACCAAAAAAATTATAATTGTCCTCATTTTCTCACATTTATGTATGGAAGCTCGTTTCTGCCACTGAATTAAAAAAAAAAAAAGGTAATTGCGACTTATTTCACAATTCTGAGGGTTTTTTTTTCTCAGAATTACGTGTTTGTGTCTCACAATTCTGACTTTTCTCGCAATTGTGAGTTTATATCCTGCAATTCTGACATTATAATTTGCAATTGTGAGTTTATATCTCGCAGTTCTGACTTTATTACTCGTAACTGTGAGTTTATATCTCACATTTCTGAGAAAAATGTCAACTCGCTATTGCGAGAAAAAGGTCAGAATTTTGAGATAAAAAGTCACAATTACCTTTTTTTATTCAGTGGTGGAAACAGGCTTCCATACATACATACGTCCTTCCAAACCTGTATTGCCATTTTTATCGTGCTGATATGTATTTATTTTATTTATTTATTTTCAAAAGTTTGGGGTAAGATTTTTTTTAGACTAAAAGTTTTTGAAATAAGTCTTTTATGCTTGCCAAGGCTGCATTTATTTAATCAAAAATACAGTAAAAAATAACATTGTAAAATATTATTACAATTTAAAATTTTCTGTTGTAATATCTTTAAACATGTTATTTATCCATTCTAATATGCTGATTTGATGCTTTGAAAAGTAGTGTGAATATACAATATTTATAAATAAAATAAATGTATTTTAGTGGCCAATTACACATAGTGTCTGGACAGTCAGTGTCGACTGTGTTGATTAAAATATGAGTAATCCAGTTTTATGAGATCTAGCTTTTATGTTGTTTTTTGTGAAGCTGTTTGTGTGGTAAGAACCCGAGTTTTTCAGTGGAAACGTACAGGCCAAGAGGAAAAGCAGCATGTGGGGTTTGCTTTCTAGTCCTGCTGAGGTTTATGAAGCAGAAAAACATCTGAATTCTACTTCCTCCTCCTCTGAATCACCTTTCCTGCCAGGCGTAGGGCTTCTGATGGACGTCTGCAGGATCGACACTGATGCAATCCTTCCGAGCGACGGTCAATAGAATTGTGAGGTGTTAGATACGTCACTGTGCATTAGTCTGTATCCTCACAGGCATACTGTCAACTCACTCTCATCAGGAGGCCTGTAAAATACGCACACACACACACACACACACATGCATGCATTCCAGACTAATGACCCTTTTTCGCGCTCTTCGATATTATTTATTGGCACTTTGAGTAAGTTCACCTGATTTTCTT